CCTAGGTTTCTGATGCTGTCACTATTTCTTTCCGTGTAAGAACAGTGACAAACTGAAATCTGGTGGAGGGGCTGGCTTCCAGCTCCCCAGGGATGTGGGTGTAGGAGAGGGATACGAACTGAAACAGTTTGCTTTTCTGCAAACTCTCACATTTTCCCCATCCGTCCTAATTTGTAACGCTCCTATTTTCCCCATCCATCCTAATCCCAATCCCAAGTACCTCTTCAAGCAGTGTTTTCATGCTCTCTACCCGGGCTTCATCTCGGGCACAGCCTCTCTCCTATTCAAACACCATGTCTAGCATTAAAGTGTGACTGGCTTTCTTAGTCTCCACCTGTAATAAAAACGAGCCTGGCTCAACAGCGATAATGATGGCAACCCCTTTTCAGGTTTATAGCTTTATTGCTCAAAATGCTCTTACTGTGAAAAAATCTCCTTCTGGTTTTACGTGTATAATAAATATCCACACCGGCGTGCATGACCAGGAGATTTCGGTACTGGCTGGCTGGCAGTGAGGGCCCTCACTCCTGCGTCTATCCTGCACACAGCCCAGCTCCACAGGATACTGGTACGCAGCCCTGGCCCAGCTCCACAAGAAGCTGGTACGCAGCCACGGCTGAGCTATATAGGGAGCTGGTAAGCAGGGAGCTGGTGTGCAGAAACATGCACAAAGGTAGCAAGAAGCAATCTGGACATAAAAGATCCTGCTGGTCCATCCTCTCCCTGCCCTTCTAGAAAAAAAGAAAAAAGCCCCAATATGGCAGAAGTCTCTGTGGCAAGTCCTCCGCCACTGGCAGAGGTTTTCAGGCTGGATGCTGGAAACAAGATTCAGGAAATACAGCAGGAACAAGGGAAGAGAAAGGAGGGCATGTGCACGCTCATCAATTCCCGACGGGCGCGAGGTTGAAGTGAAAAGCTTCCCGATGGCCTCCAACAAGCTACTGAAGCATGAATACAGCAGCTAATTGAGAGGCAGAGTTGATTGCCTGCACTGCGCTTAGACGCTTCAGGTTGAAAAACCACAGAAGAAACCTCAAAGCGGTATGTGAAATTCTACAGGACACAGGCAAAGAGGGCAAGGAGACGGGAATCTGTGGTGTTAAACCTTAACCATGACAAGCAGCAGTTCAACCGCTAATTTAGAACCCAGAGCTGAAGGACTTGCACCTTTCTGTCTACCGAAGCCTTTGCCTGCAGCAAACAGACGTAAACAAATTACAGGAGGCTGTTAAACACTGGCAATAAACTATCCCCGGACATACACAGGGCTGTGGAGTGTTGCTTAATAAACTCTAAAATGTCTTTCACCTGTTTTTTTGTAGGCTGCTGTTCATTTTCCTTCTGGAAGTGATGGTAAATGCAGGATCAGTTTGTCAGTGATGTATGCAAATTTTTTACTTATCCTTAGAAATTTTAACTGTCCCTGCCTCCAAATAATCTGGCCTCCCTTTCATTTCTTTGTTAGAAAAGATAGCCAGTCTGGCTTTTGTTTTCCTGTTGCATGTGTATTTGTGTGTGTGTGTTTGCATGTGCGTGCGTATAGAGTAGTGCTAGAGCAGGTGTTACCTGATGATGTGTTGACACCGAAATTAACGTTTATTCTCAAAGCAGTCATTGTGCATCAGGTTCATTCATTATCCTGGAACAAGGACAGTTTCTTTCTCTAAACCATCCTGCAGGCACATTTGTGTGGAGCTCTAAGATGAATTCTGCAATAAACATCAGCCCCAGTGTCTGGTACAACCCAGTTTCAGCCACGGGCGTGTTACATACCTTTCATCCGAAGCAAACAGGTAAAAATTAATGCTTAGGTCATCTCCTAGGGTTGCCATGTGACATAGCTGGTAATACCAATACTTAACATTGTAAAATAAAATCAATATTAAGTCCTTTAATAATGCAATGATTTTATAATATAACTATTAATAATAAGCATCTTATTTTTATTTATTCCAAAGTTACAGCAGTTACACTAGTGACACTAAATCATCTTGAATATGTAACCAAAGAAATCACTGCTGAGAACCACAGAAACTTCAAGCTGTACGGAGGACTCAGCCACTTCAGATTCCTGTGTTCCTTTGTCTGTCCTCAGTCCCTCTGTCCACAACAGTATTTATAGTGTGCGGTCACATGTTCAGGAAACTTGGATGGTATAAAGGCACAAGAATAACTATAAATGAATCAGAAATGAGCACCCCGGAGTAGCAACAATAAGAAAACCAAAAGGCTTTTGGAAAGCAGTGCATTTTATTCCCACATCTTATTCTGCAGTCTTCCACTGATGCTATTAAAATACCTCAGCACGAGGCAGTATTTTTATTTTATTGTGTGACAGTCTCCGTTACTGAAAAAGTGGATTGCATTTGCCAAATTCCCATTTTAATTTAGGGAATTTACAGGTTTAAACAGAATACAATATAATCACATTTCGACTATACATGCAAATGTACAACATCATAACAGCAGCTTTTTTAAGAGTCAAAACTGTTCGCATTTCCACAAGTTTCTACTAATACTCCAACAACAGTAAGCGGCAAAACATTGAACACCCCCAGGAAAGAGTCCTGCAACAAAAGCCCAGGGGAGAGCTTTCTACAGCACGTGCCAAACACCGAGCGTTCGCTACGGGATCTAAGACTGGCATCCAGCTGGTAAAAAGATCCACATTTCTTGTGGACAGAAAACACTGAGCGCAGTGAGGACAGATCAGAAATGTGGGTTTCTCTTCAGCCATCTGTATGATTACAATGCAGTTCAACGTCATAATGAGTTCAGTAATACAGCAACTACAAGTCATAGGCACAAACTTCTTTAGTCTAGGATGTGTTTGAAAAACTAACAAAACCCCTACTATATCAGCCTATAAACAATAAATAGTGCTTTTATTGCAAAAGGTGCCATATGGAGCTCGAGTAGAAAGTAAATGTATTTTGGCATACAGCCAGTACCTCTCGGCTCTTAAACACAAGCTATACATAACGTGTGATGCACAGATCTCCACGCCCCGTCCCCCAGCTCAGCAGCTACAGGCTTTTAGCCTGAATGTCTTTACAACCGCCTCTTTCAAAATTCATGGGTGATGCCAGGTCACCCAACTTCTGCACTCACTCAAAAAACATACTGTCGCACCTGATGTTTCTGCCTGCATTTATTGACAAGAATCTAAAGCTTCCCCAGAGATCAGTTTTGCAAATATTCCCTACTGGGTAAATTGCTCATTTCGGATTTCAGCGCTGAACGCGCTGTGAGGCTAATGCTGCCTGCTTGGCTTGAGAAGGCATTGGGCTAGGCACTGATTAATTACGGCTGTGGCAATAATTGATTTTCAGTTCAGTGGCTTAATTAATAATAATAACAACAACAACAACAACAAACTTGGTTCATTTTTTCAGGAGATGATAACAACTTGTTTTAGCCTGTGGTCAAGACGGCCCAATGGTTGGGGCACCCTTTTGGGATGAGGAAGACTCGGAGTCAAATCTCTTCTCTGCCTAGTTCTGAGCAAAAGTTTGACCCAAGGACTCCCGCCTCCCAAAAGGGTATCCCTAGGCTAAGAAATACTCAAATGCTTGTTTCCCCATCTTTCCCGTTAAATGCATGTGGTACAAAATATTAGCATGCTCAGTAGAGGCCCCGCCGGAGCGCCTGCTTCCCGCTTCCCACAGGAGCGCTGGAACGGCCAGGGTGGAGAGGCAGCGCTGCCCCTCGCAGCCCGCAGGGACAGTCTGGGTGCAAGGCAGCAGCTTCCACCAAAGCCACGGATGTCTCCGTGCCGAGTGCACCGAGCATCCCTGCCCGTGAGCGCTCGGCCGTGCGATCTGCCGGAGCACACTGCAGCTCCCTGCCTGCCTGCCTGCCCGCACTTTCTGCCACTGGACACCACAGCGCGGGGACAGCAAGGGCTGATACGCACAAAGCCATGTCCCAACACGTGGCCAGGATACAGCAAAACTGTCCTGCAAAAGCACTCCTGGGAACCCCGGCAGAGGTGGTGTCCCCAGTTCTCCTATCAGCCTGTACTTCCGAGAGAGGGAGATGGAGAGGACACCTAGGTTCCAAGCCAGGCTCTGATTCACCCGACTTCAGGGTACAAGGAGGGGATAGCACAAGGCACGCACCGTCCCCCTGTTTTTTTTATAGCCCTCCCAAATCAAATCAAATCAATACAGTCCAACATTTCCAATCCCTTTTATTTGGGTCAAACTAATATTCCCAATGCTACATGTAGTTAAAGCTCATAGAAAAACATCCTTCTTTTGCTGACCACAGCTTCTCAAAAGTTCAGATCTGGTTCTGTTCTCATGTACACCACCGCAAGACAAAAGTATTTCTACTGAAGACACAAACTACCCAATGTAAACCAGGTCCAAGGCCCAGCCTGGCCACGGAATCAGGGAGAGTTTCAATTCTTCAGTTAAGAGGGTGATTCTACACCAATGTAATTGAAGTGGCACAACCTCTAGCTCTGTTGCAATTGTATCGACACAGAGGAGCACATAAAAGTACAGTTAATAGGAGCTTATATATTGCAGGAATATATTTATATTGACTACCTATAATTAGATGGATACAGATACGGAAGCACATCGACAGAGCCTCCGAATGGTGTTAAAATCACAAGGCTCCAGACACAAGCTAAGCTACAGGCCACCGCCGTGTCACTGGCACTGCCGACTAACTTAATGGTACTGGTGTCCCACATGGCCCAGGCTGCTGGGCAAGCGCACCGTGACTTGCTGCTACCCAACTCTCTCTGTATCCACAGCAGAGGACTCGGCACCTTTAGCTGTGGTGGGTCTAAACTGATGTACTGAAAGCAGCTGAAAGCAAGCCCAAAGCACGAGCAAACTCTGACCTTTTGCTTTTTGACAATGAGGTAAAGTCATCCTACATGATTTGGATTTGTCAGCATTGATGTGGAAATGTATGCTCTGCCTTTCCCCCTGTACAGAGAACCAGGTGTCTGTCCTCAAGCAATAGGTTTTCAAACCTGCTTTTTAAGGGTTTGGTAGCTCTTCATTTTCTATCAAATAATCCTTCTTTATATAATTAGCACCCCTCACCAACCTCCATACTCCGAGATAGGCATCCTTCAGCAAGCTCCTGTTCACTTCTTGTGTGCCGGTGGCTTTTCCCTGGACCGCCGGTCCCTTGGCAGGTTTCTCAGTGCCGTCCCTCTCCTCCTCTCTGCTCTGGCTGTTCCCTGTGGCCGATTCTTCCACTGCTGCTTCCCCAGCCCCCTCCTCCTGGGAAATCTCCTCCATCACGAACAGTGCTTGGTCCCCAGCCTGCCTTTTCTCCTCCTCTTCTCTAGCTTCTTTCTCCAGGTCCTCGTAATTGCTCTGCCGTCTGGTCTCAATGTACTTGGCCACGCAGTAAATGACAGACCCCAAGGTGTTGACCACGACACCGGCTATAAATAACTTTGTGGGCTCCACATCATTGAATGCCACCATGCCCACTGTGATGGTTGCTATGCTCTTCACCACCCCCACGAAGCTGGTGGTCACAGCCGAGTTAATGTAAGTGCAGTGAAGGGTGGTAAAGTTCATGGCACAGCTAATCAGGACGCAAGCGACAAAGATGCATACCATGGCGGGGTCCTTCCACCCCGGGAATGACCAGACGTTGATGGAATCCATGCTGGCAAAGGAGCAGATGATGAGAAAAGGGGTGGCCGAAACAGCGATGGCGTACTGAGCTGTCAGGGGTCCGTATTCACTATCTACACTGGTCTTCTGAATGAGCACCAGGTAGGCAGCGTGTATCAGCACGGCCAGCACGCCTGTCACATAGCCCATAGCATCCCCGCTCAGGTCACCAGCTCCTGTCAGGAGAATCACAGAAAGAAACAAGCATTGTTTTTGCATGTGAGACAGAAAGAGAGCACCGTTTTGGGCTGGGGGGATATTTAGGAAATAGGCACCAGTGCCCTTTCCGTAACTCCTAAGATTTGTCATGCTTTTGCCAAGGCTGGACACACTTACCTCCCAACAGATGTATCTTTTTTTTGTGTGTGTGTGTGCTGCAAACCTATTGAATGTCATCCACTCTCCCCCTAAATCCTGCAGCCAAAATCAGATTGCATTCTCCCTTTTGTGAAGACACTACGGGAGATTTGCAGCTAAAATTGCACATACGCACAGCCACGCTGGGCATCCTCTTGCCAGTGAGGGCACACGTCAGCTCCGGCTGGCCGGGCTGCCTGCCCTCCAGCCCCCCGGCCCTCCTTCTCCCCTCCTGCTCCCCAAAACAAGGCCAAGCTGCGTGGGGCCCTCACAGCGAGAGCCTCCCTGCTGAGCCCCCAGTCAAGCTTCTTTGCAGATTAAGCTACTCGCCATGTGGGTGTGCTCTGTTCCCTGGGGCAGCCCCCAACCCAGGAGTGTCGCCAGGCCACGCAGAGCCAGCTTTGCCTCCCACCCCGCCTACCCCTCGGCTGGAAATCAACGCAGGTAGGGCCCCCGGCCCCATAGGGTTGCAGCTGACCCCAAAAGTTGCACCTACCCCTGTAAGATTGCACTTACCCCAGTAGGGCTGCAGTTGCCCCCATGGGGTTGCAGTTGCCGCCAGAAAGTTACATCTACCCCTGTAAGGTTGCACGCACCCCCCGTAAGACCACACCTCGCTCTGTAGGGTTGCACCTTCCCTAATAGGGTTGCAATAAGGTTGCACCGACTCCCGTAGGATTGCACCTACTCCCATAGGTTTATACCGACCCCCATAAGGATGCGCCTATCTCCGCAAGGCTGCACTGAGCCCTGCAAGACTGTACCTGTCACAGCGGGGCTGCATCCACCCCCGCAAGGTCGCACCTGTCCCCGTAAGGTTGCGCCTGCCACAGTGGGGTTGCAGCTGCCCCCCGGGGTTGCACGGCCCCCGTATCCTCGCACCCTTCCCACCGGGCTGCCGCTGCCCGCCCCGTCCCGCCCCGAAGCCCAGCCGGAGCGGCG